CGCCGCCGCCGCCGCCGCGGGAAGGACCTGGCCGACCGTCCCCCAACGTCCCCCCCCCCCCGAGGGCAGAAGGGACGGGTAGCGGATCCCACGGAGGGCGGGCGGGAGGGAGGTGCCGCTTGGGACTCAGGGGGCGATTTCTGACAGCGAGAACCCCGAATCAGTGGCTTCGCTTCCTAAACGGGGTTTCCCATTCAAGTGCATAGAAGGCATCCCATCTTCCTCTAAGGGCTTCCTGGCCTTCCAAGCCCGCAGGGGAGATCCCTGGGCCAGCACGCAGCACAGAGGAGGCCCAGGACATGCACAGCTGGAGCAGCAGCAGCAGCAGCAGGAGGAGGCGCTCCTCATGTTCCCGGCACTGAAGTGGGCCTGGGCCGGTTCCCTTCCCTGGCAAGCCCTCGGAAGGCAGCCTGGTGGGGCCCAGGGGAGAGGTCCCTTGCCTCCCACCCGCTTTCCTCTGCTTGGCAGCTATATGACATATTCCTGTATTATTCCTTTGTTCCATTGGTAGATTAGTGGCTGCATTAATAAATGTGTAACTGTGCAGTAATAGAGAGACACATTCTTTTCCTTTTGCTGCCTTGCTTTAAGTCTCCTGCAGAGACAGAAACTACTCAAAGAGGGTGATTTGTTTACCCTCAGGGGCAACGACTACAATGCAAATATTTGCTTCTCTGGCCGAAATGACCCGTCCAAGGGAGCCACCGTTCCCATCCCCCGTCTTTTTATAAAGATATAGCTACTGAGGGAGCATTGTGTCAATTACTCACTTGACTCAGTGTCCCAAGCTAAGATCTAAGATGCCAAAGCAAGTTGTAGGTACAAAGCCTCAGCAGGTGAAGACAAGGACACAATCTCGGCAGCAGATGAAACCGTCTTCTTTATTGGTGCTGAGTAATAAGCATGCTGGACAAGGGGGACCGTGCAGTTCAGGAGGGCTGGCTCTCCCAAACGCCAAATAACAAGACAGTCAATCCATACACTCTGAATCACCAATTAGGCCTTAGAAAGCTTCTTGGTATTCAGTCCTGCTTTATTCGACATGCTTGAGAGAAACCAAAAGGAGCATAAAACTCTCAAAAGCCCAAGTTAAATTTTCCTTGTTAAAAGGCCTGCTGTTTTTGGAGGTGGAGGATCAGTTCTTCTGCATAAACTCTGAACAGGGGAACGGGGTCCTAAGAAAATATAGATACAGAGGGTCAGTCTTACAATTGCCCTTGATTTCAACTACCAGCCCCTCATGAGGACTGGTCTCGGCCTGACTGAGGGGCTCCTGAAAGCAAGGTTCCAAAAGATGGAATCGATGGAAAGAAATGCAGTCGGGAATGCAACTGGTAATTGGTTATGGGTAGGTAAATATTCTAATCCAGGCAGATGTTGCCCAGCCAAGGAGTTGCAAGGCCCACCAACCTCATTGGCACAATCTGTCCATGAAGTGCCTATGCCACCTACCTTCTTCTCCAGGACTCTCTGCTTCTCCACAGCTTCCTCCAAACTCAGTCCAATCCATTCGGCCTCCTCTTCTGGAATGACAAACTCCTGCAGGCAAAGTTCAGTTTGCTAATTTGCAGCACAGAAACTTATTGAGAAGCCAGATAGCTACGATTATGGGAAAAGTGCAGATATAGGTAAACAGGAGGAAAATCTCTTAGCAGGGAAAGCGACATGACAACACAATAAACTATTGGAACAGAAGTTCTTTTCCAAGAGAGAAGTGACTGTACCCAAAAGTTACAAAAATTGCACTTCCCTCTCCATTTTTCTCTTGCACCACACCTGTTCCCAAGAAACCTGGTTTCTTCCTGCAGCCAGAAACCACCTGTAGGCCTTCCCAGACACTCTGGAGAGTGAGAATCACCTTGTATTTGTTATAAACAGCCTCCCTCTTGGCTGGATCATCTGGGTGGAGAGAAGGGTCTCTGCGTGCCAGTCTCAAAAGCAAGGTGCGCTTCAGGTCCATGCCCAATTTGGAGCACAACTCAGACTTCGGGGTCTGTAAATGGAAGGGATCAAATGCCGCTGTTTACCTTAGGAGTTGCAGGTGGCCCTGCAAGCAACCGCCTCAGTCAAAGGAGGCCCTGCACTGTCTCAGGCCACTGCCATCACGCCCTGACCGGAGCTGGGAAGGAAAGTCTCCCTTCCAAAACCAGCTGCAAACCTTTAAGATGTAGAAGTCGAAGCCGAAGGCTTTGTCCACCTGCTCCAGCGTCCTCATGGTGACGGCAATTCTCAAACTCTTGCCTAGGATCTCGCTGTAGAACTCGCGGTTGAAGACCTGCGGCTTCCACATCTTCTTCAACCGCCTCGAGAGCTGAAGGCACCAAGGGAAGAGATGGAGCCCGGGGAGGGACGCGCAGGAGCCCCCCACCCACGGCCTGCTCCAAGCGCCGCGGACCCACCTTGTCATCGTGGGCGTAGCGGTAGCCCGCCACGCAGCCCTCGCCGCCCCACAGCCCCTCCTGGCTCTCGGGGGGGAAATAGACTGGCACCGGCACCACCTGCTGCCGCACGCCCTCCAGAGGGCCCGGGGCGCGCGCGTACTCGCCGGCGGGCGGCCTCCAGTGGACGGCGGGGGGCGGCGCGGCGGCGTCCTCGCGCAAGGCCCGCAGGTAGTGGGGCGGCAGCCGAGCGAGGATGCCGCGCTGCAGGCGCAGCGAGTCCCACAGCCGCGGGGGGACCTTGTGCAGCGGCATCGCCCACGGGGCCACGCCGGAAGCCGCTGCCTCGGCCGCTCACCGCTTCCGCCTGCGTCTCGTTGGTCCAGCCGAACCGGAAGGGGAGGGCGGGGGGGAAGGGCCTCGCCCGCGTCGCCTTCCGCCGGCCGTTCAACCAGGGCGGCAGCTGTTCCACCGACGGCGTGCCCGCTCCCCACCCATCCCCCGCCTCGCTTGCTCAGATGAGCCGCTCCGGGGGAGAAGCCGTTTCCCCGCTTTTAACCAACGGAAGCTTTACTTTTAGTGGCGTTGGAGATCTTTTAATTAAAGACGTGAAGGTTAAAGGAAGCTGTTTCGTTTTTTAAAAAAAGCTTTGAAATGCCACGGGTGGCTCGATGGAATATGAATAATGGAATATGCAGTTGCTAAAGCTTTTCCTGAGACAATGCTACATCCGTGTTTGCATCTTTAATTTAGAATCAAGTTGAGCCTTCTTTATCCGCTGCAGTGATTGCACATCAACCCTGAATCAAGGCTCTTTTCAGTGCAGGTTAATGCAAGGACAGGCGAACGACACACACAAGCACAGAGAAAATGTGACCTGGTCCTGGACCAGCCTTGGCCAAGGATTCCTACGTTGGCTGCCCTGCCCCTGCCCAGGAAGTGGATTTGTATTTGAAAAAAGAAGATGCCAGGAGTCTTCGTGTCCCGATAAAGTGCTCTTCATACCCAAGTTCGAACAAGCCAATCCGGAATGCGTGACAGCCCCTTCCTGGCTGATTTCATGGGCCAATGGTCCTGCCTGTGCAGGCAAGGTGGTGGATACAGGGCAGGAGCAGTGGGGCTTGGAGGCTCCTGCCTTCAGTCCCCCTGAATTGCCTCAGTCCCCAGCCATTTTCTTGGCTGCAGAAGCATCTATTTCCTTGCTGCGCATTATTCCCAAGGCTGCCACAAGATGAAGCCACATTTCCCAAGATTCAGAAAGGCCCTGGCTCTGTCAGGCAGCTTCCTCTCCAGCCAGATTGCCTGGATGCCTTCATTTTTATCCAGCACAGCAGGAGGGATGGAGGGGGGGGGGTGTTCACATTCCTCCAGCCAAATTAAGTGATTCCCATTGGGAGGGAGTCTGGCTGCATCAGCTCCTCCTTTTCCAGTCACCGCACTGTGTAGAGTTCCTCCTGGTCATTCCTACAGATTTGGTAACGGCACAGCAGTTTACGGGACCAGGCCCATGGGTCTTTCTGCTTATCTCCAGGAAGAAGGAGGAAGGCCACGCTGCTCGCCACCAGGACGTGCCAGATGCTGTGGGTGTAATAGTAATTTTCGGTGGTTTCCAGGAAGGTGTATACTGCTATGGCCACGAGGGCCAAGCTGGTCCCGGGGAAGAGGAAAAAGGCCCAGCGCTTCCAAGACGGAGGGTAGCAGCGGCGCCGGGAGATTCCACGATAGACCTATGGGAGGAGAGATGGCTTACTGGGAGCAGCACAGCCAAGGAACTTGCCAGCCTGCTCCAGGGAGAGAATTCAGATAGCCTGTTGCAGAACCTGCTCTTAACATGTCTTGCATTCCTTGCAAGAACAAAGCGCCCTCAGGCCAAATTGATTGCAGCCAAATGCCTGAGGAGCAAATGGCAGCGGGCTTCCTGCCACCCAGCTCAGAGGTTTGCTGATCATAAGGAGCTTCGGGAAGGAAGGCCAGAAGTGTCATACCCAAATGCTGGCCATGATGGTGAGGGCAAAGAGACAGGGTCCCATCATATTCCACACACCCCTGCGGTCCAGCTGCAGTGACATTGCAATGACCAGAGTCCCCAGCACACAGAGGACCTAGAGCAAAGGAGAAAAGGCCAGACAAGACGATCCGAGAGGGCTTTGGAAGCTGCTGATGGCAACGAGGGATATGCCCACCAGCACGGCCAGCTTCCTGGCAAACGCTCGCCACTGCCACTTGTGCTGGTCACTTACACTGCAGCCAAGAAGCACCAGGCAAGAATGGCTCAAGGGGAAACGTTCACCTCTTCCATCCCATAATCTGGCTTCCTCCCCCAATTCTTCACTACTTTTAATTAGGGATTGCCTATGTCTCGCCATACATACATTTTTCAGGGTCTTCTCGACCTGTGCCATGCAGAGAATGGTCACCCAGATGGAGACAACAGAGCCCAGAAAGTCACAGAACTGCAACGTATCGTAATCCATAATGCACATTACAGCAATGCCAGGCTGGTCACAGGCGTGGTAGAACTGTAACCACAATAAGGAGGAAGAGGAAGTGGTGGCAGAAGGGGGGCTGTTGCAGCAGGTCTGCATTTTCAAAAGCTTGGCCCAGAAAGGCTCCTCTATCCTTCCTTGCTCAGAGGTCCAGTGGGGCTAAGAGAACTCCAGAAACCCCCATTCACCCAGGCAGGCCAAAGAAATGGAAGCCCACTTTCCATTGCAAAGAACTGAAGTGCTCCACAGCATGCATTGGACCAAAGAAAAACAAAAAAAAGCTTACTGTGGAAAAGAACATGGTGAAGGTATAAACGGAGGCCTCAACTAGGTGATAGTGGTAAAGGGCCACAGTGATTGCAGGCAGGAAGAACAGGTTGCTGAGGGTGAGCAAGAGGGTGGCCAAGATCTGGGTGCCTACAGACTGGGCCTTGCTTCTATCTGTGCAGCTCCAGCCAGCCCAACCTGCAAGAGGAAAAGGCAGGGAACACGTTAGCTACAAAAAGCAATGCTCTGCCAAAGGCACGTTCTTCAACTCAACTATATCTTTGTCTTTCTTGCCTTGACTCCATGTGTGTGCTTCTAAAAAAGTGGTGCGGCCATTGGCCTCCCAGCACACGTGGTTTCATGTGCAAAGTGCTTTTGCAAAGCACAGCCACTCCCGGAGGCATCCACGCAGGTAGGCAGCTCCATGCAGAAGGTGGGTCCTGATGGGGCCAGCTCTCCTTTCTTGGAGGAGGGGACCTGAGGCAGAGCCGCCCCGGCTGGGAGGCCTGGGAGCTAAATCCACCAAGAGCGGCCTGGGGGATAGGAGCAAGTGAGTGCCGGCTAGGATCTCTCTTACCAGCCTTGCAGATGCAGCCTGTGTAGAGGTAACCGTGGCGCCTGATGAGGCTGCACTGTCCGTAGGTCCCACAATCATCAAAGCAGGGGGTGAGGTAGGCAAGCACGGCTACCTGGCCTTGGGCCAGATCACAGTCTCTGCACAAGAGGCGGAGAGAAAGAGATTCCTCGATGCAGCAGATTCAATCCTACTGGGAACGGCCAGCTCCACAAAGGGCAAATGGGGGGGGGGGAGGAGGGTAAGCACAAAGCCACCCCAGCAGTGGCAGTTTTCTCCCTGCTCTGCAGAGAGCCATGCCCAGCCGGGAGATCCAGTACTCACTCTGATTCCTTTGGGCAGAGCAGCTTCAGGGACAGATACCAGCTGTCAGACTGTGGGTAAGGGACAATGACTGCAGCTTCCCTGGAGGACATGCTCACGTTCAGGAGGTAGCCCTGGGCGAAGGCTGGGTGAGAGGGGAAGCAGCAAGCAGAGCAACTGCTGTTGGTCCACGTCCTTTAAAAACCATCAGCTTCTCTGGAGTAAATGCACAGGTGCTCCAGGAAAGGGCAAAATACAGTGGTCTGGACCAGTGGTGGGTTTCAATTTATTTTACTACCGGTTCGCTTGTGCGTGTGCCTCCTGCCGCTGCCACCACCCGTTTGCCTGATCCGGGGCGAACCGACAGAAACCCAGCTCTGGACTCTTGTCAAGCAGCCCTTCTGGCCACGTACCTGTCCAGCAGCCCCAGGAGCCATTCAGGAAAAGTGCAGGAGATGTGGGGCTCAAGCAGGCCAACACAGTGGCGTTTCCAAGGCCCACGGAAGTCTGCAATGACAAAATTGGTCCCAGTTCTGAATTCTGGCAGGAAGCAAAACCTGTCAACCCTTGGCCCTGCATGCAGCAGGGGTTCATTCTCACCTGGTTCAGCATCAGGTTCAGCACCAGGTTCCCTCCACTGTCCATGCCGGAGTTCAGGTTAAGGAACAGCAGAGTGGGAATATCGCTCCGAACGGGCACAGTGGAATCTCCAAGAATGCGGAAACGCACAGAAACAACGTCCAGGTCCTCGCGGGCAACCGGCTGGCCACGCAGGCAGGCGTTTCCTGGGCCAGAGGCATTGTGGCTGCCGCCCATGGCAAGCAGTGTTCTGTTGAGGTGGCCTCCTGGCGTCGGCATCCCCTGGTTCTGCTTCAACCTCTGGTAGAAGCCAAGGAAGGAGGCCGCATCTCCTGGGTTGCATGCTGCAAGGAGAGAAGCCGGCACATGCTCCACCACACAAATGGGCAGGAGGAAAGGGGAGGGCAAGAGACCCTTCTGGATGGAAACAAGACCTCCCCTTCCTCAAAGCAGGGGCCACTATTCTCTTGACCAGATGAGAAAAGGAAGGAGCAGCAGGGATCTGAACAGGAACGGAAAGAGCCTTTGCTGAGATCCCCATAGTTGCCGGAACCTGTTCCCGATTCCAAGCATTCTGGTCAGGGACACACACCTATGAAGAACACCACCATCTGAAAGGACACGCTGGCGCTGGCACCACCAAGGCTCTCCACTGTGATCCAAAGCCACCTTCCCCATGGTGGGGAAGGCAAAAAGATGCTGCAGGCCTCCAGGCAGCGAAGCACCTTCTGGGAAGACCAAGAGAGCACAGCCGAACCCAAGGTGACCCGGAGGGCACAAGACGCAGCAGAGCCGTTCTCCATGCACTTCCCCAGCTCAAAGCGCATCCCAGCGGTGTACTCGGGGACAAAGATCCTGCAACACATCATTTCCAATGCAGACAGAGGCCCAGGAAGTCAGCAGATGCTTCTTGGGCTTAAAGGGGCCAGCCGTTCCCCCCCCTCCTCATCCCATGCTACTCACTTGGCATGAAGTGGCCTACTAGCCCCCTTGGACAGAACCCGTTGGACAGGTACATCAGGCTCAAGGACTACAACGTCCACCTGGCGCAGCAGAAACACGTCAGGCTGGAAGGTGTAGCTGCAAGACCCAGAGAATCCCTGCAGGCAGAAAGGCCCGTCAGGGAAACTGCCCTGCTCAATTCCAGCTCCACCAGTTCTTGTCCAGCCCGGTGGACGCACCTTGGATCATGGCATGCCACAGATTTGGGCTCAGGACTTCCACATCTCCTGCGGGCTGTTTCCCCCACTCCTGCCAGCCCAGTTCTCACCTTCACCTCAATCCTGCTTGATGCTGCAGGCAGGTGGGCAGCGAGAAACCAGTCCCCAGCAGCCGGGTTAGTGAGGTTAACAAAAGTGCTATTCTGCTGGGCAGCGTCCAAGGTCAGAGTCTGGCTGAAGGACGGAGGGAGGCTTGTGTTCACGGGAAACTCTGTGCCCAGGGGGTTGATGACAGGCGGGGCACCATAGCGGATGTGGCTGGAGGACACAGGTCAAGAGAAGGGGTCAATCACCCTCTCCGTCCCCTGAGATGAAGACCCTGAGCCCTCTGGTACTCCCTGCCACAGCGGCAGCAGCAGGGGAGACTCACAAGGTGACCTGAGTCTTGCCACATCCAGGCCCTTTGTCTCTGGAAGCCTGCAGAAGCCACCGCAGCAGCACTGTGTCCTCTGGGACACGGAAACGGAAAATCCTGGCACTCCCATACCAGCGGTAGAAGGACAGCGTCTGTGAGCTCTGGGAAAAATACTCAGAAAGAAATGCCGGATCTGGGAAGAAAAGAAGAGCCCTCAGGTGCCCAGCCATAGCTGCAGGCAGGTCCTGGTGGGGAGGGGCTGGGCTACCGGTCAAGCACACCATGGCCACAAACTCCATTGGCTCCATTGCAGGTCTCAGGGGGGTCTCAGAGGCTGCTCTGGGGCAGTGAAAGTGGCTGGCCAGCCCAGGAAGGACCTTGGAGTGACCATCGCCCACACAGGCAGCCTCTGAGCAGGAAGCATCTACATGTCCCTTAGGAGACCTCCGGGAGTCCTGGGAGGAAGTCACAGAGCACAGGGATCCAGGGCAGGCAGATAGGCAGGCACACCCCACCCTGCAGGCATCGCTGCTCTGGACTTTGCACAACAAACCCATTTCCGGGAAAGGGGACTCGGTCTTCCCTCCCACTGCCTGAGGGCTGGGCATGGTGAGGGCTGGGCACGACCAGCCACGGGATAGAGGCACAGTACTGCCCCTGCTGCCCTGACGCCCTTGTGCCAGGCAAGGAAATCAAGGCGTGGGTATCAGGAAAGAAGGGGGGAAGCGGGTGCCCTGTTGAGGCTGCCGCAAGACAATGTCCCTGCATTGCCGCCTACTCTGAAGCCCGGCAGCCTCGACCCAGGAAAGGAAGCCAGGGAGGCCAAACCCTGCCCCCCAGTGCCCGGGCACCGGCCCACCATCCCCAGGCACTGGTGCCCAGGAAGAAGCCCCAGACCAGATGCCACAAAGCCCTGCCAGCAGGAGGCCCTGTGGAGCCACTGCTCGCCGGCTCGTCTCCACGGGAGCTGCCGGGCTTCCTGCCAGGAAAGCAGCCCGGGCTCCTTCGAGAGGCAGCCCTCCCAGCGACAGAAGAGCCGGCGCTGGGCCGCCGCCCTCAACCCGCTTGCCAGAGGAGAGGCGCTGGAGTCGACTCGGGGAGGCGCGCCCGGTCGAGCCAAGGTAGCGGGCGCGGCTTCCCTGATACGCCCGGCGCCGGGCAGAGGAGCAGCGGTGGAAGCGCGGCTCACCTTCGGCGCCTTCGGCCAGCTCAGCCTCCTTTTTCTCCGGCGGCGAGAGGGGGGCGGCGGCGGCGGCGAGGAGCAGGAGGAACAGGGGGCGGCGGGCGAGCGAAGCGGCAGCCATCTCCGCTAGGGCTCCGCACCTGGACTGGCCGGCCGGCGGGGCCGCCAGGGGGAACCGGCGGGGCGGGAGGGGAGGCGGTTGGGCACGCGCTGCGGGCGGCGCTTGACCGGGAAGGAGGCGGACGGACTCCACCCTCAGGCGGCGAGCGCGGCTTCCTCGGTCCGCGGTCAACTGGCGGGGGGAGAAGCCGCCTCCCTGCCGAGCACATTCATTGCCAGCCTTTGCCCTCGGGCTCGCCTGGCTCGCAGCCCCGCGTGATCCCGGACGACGCTGGAGCGGGAGAGGAGGGGGCCGCATCTCCGGGCCAGCGCCCCCTCCCCCCGAACTGATCCCGCGAACTCGCCCCCTCCCCCGCCCCCCGCCCCATTCTAACGGGCGATCCCTTGTGCCAGACATGGCCGTCTTTGGGGGTCCCAGCGGAAAGCTGAAGGTGGGGTGAGTCGCCCTCTGCCCCAAACTGGTCCGCGGCGCTTCGACCAACTGCCTGGCGGGTGAAGGGGCGGCAGCCGGGGCATCCCTGAAACGGCCGGCAGCGGGACTCGGGGCCGGGAATGTTATTTGGGGAAGGTACCCTCAAGGTCCCTCTGGTTTGGGGGCATCCTAGACTAAGAGAACCGTGAGTTTAAGTCCGGGCTTAGCCATAAAATCCAGCTGGGTCACGTGGGCCAGTCATTCCCTCTGGCCAAACCCACCTCACAGGGTTGTTATGGGGAAAATAGGAGGAAAGCGTCCTGGATCCGTTCACTGCCTGGAATTCTTGGTGAAAACAATCAGGGCGGAAGAGGGAGTCTGCCGCCTGTAAACGGAAGGGGCTCATGGTGACCACTTTCTAAATTCCAGGCATTCCGAAGGGCACAACGGAGCCTGCCCTGTTTGCTCTGCCCCACTTGACTGTCGGGTTGTGAATCTTTTGGTCCAGTTAAAACAAAAGGCTGATTTGAGATGTGACCATCTGGGAACCTGGTGGAACCTGATAGGTTATGATACCAAATGCAGTTGTGTTCTAAAAATGAAGAAGGGGCCTACAATGTTGGGGACTTTATTTTTCGTGCCTCTGGAGGTTCTCAGTCCTCCAGGTCATGCTTGTCCCAAAGGGGCTTTTTCAAGAGGCAACTGGATTTTCTCTTCTTTCTCTGAAGACTTTTTGCTTTTCAGCCAAGTTCTTCAGGTTCTTCCTTTTCTGTGCTCCCCCAAAGCAGCCTAAGTGTGCAAGTACAATTTCACAAGGTTTTATCTCATGGAAAAGACTCGCCTCTTCACGATGTTCCATGAGAGGAATTTTGCAATTTATTCTCTTATTTTCAGTTCTGTCCTCCAGAATTCTTCAAAACTCCCCCACATCCTCACGCCTCCCATATTCTTCACTACTGAGAAGTGCGCCTTGGAGGCTGTGTGCAAGGGCTGCTTTGGCAGGGGGGAGTCCCTGGGATGGGGGCGGGGCAGACCCCCAAGGCCCCCCTCCCCACACCACATACCTTCAGCATTTCTTGCCCAGGCCAGGGGCACCAAAGGCAGGTCTAGGTTTTTTCAGGGCAAGAATGAAGCGGGGTGGGCAGTGCAGTCACCATTTTCAGAGCAGTTGTTGCTGAGCATAGAAACCGAGAGGCAAAGCAGGAATCGGCCCCATTAAAAAAACTAAGTGGTACAGAGCTCTTCCAATGGGTAATGTGGTTACTTCATTTATGTCTCTGTAGTATGGCAGCTAGCTAATTGCATGATTTTTTGTAAGTCATATGGTTAAGGCAATCAGAGGCGTTAATCATAGAGTCAGAAGTCTTTTAGTCCAGGGGTCCCCAACCCCCCCCCCCGGTCCATGGATTGGCACCAGTCTGCGGCATGGCAGCAACTGGGCAGCGCGGAGAAGCAAAGCCCCATCCGTGGGTGCAGGCAGCACACAAAACCACGGCCCCTCTGGTCCACGGAAAAAACCTTTCTCCCTGGAACTGGTCCCTGGTGGTTCTAGTCCAATCCTCTGCTCAGGTTGGGAATCCTCAGACCGTCCCGGGAAAAAATGTCCCATTCTTTGTTGGAAACCTCGGGGATGGAGCACACACATCTTCAGCAGGCAAACTATTTCACCACCTCACAGCTTCATAGGCAAAATGGGCAAACCCTACAGAGCTGTTAGCCAGCTTCCAGTACTAGCAAGGGGTAGTTTTATGCTGTTCTTTTCAGGGCTGCTCTTGCAGGCTCCGTCCCTCATAGACGCTGAAGCTGCAGGCAGGCCGGTGGGGGGAGGGGGGGAGTCGCCACATTGCAAATACACCAGGACAGAGCTTGGTGCACCGTCATGCCTTTGTCATTGGGCACCGTGGGGATTAGGAGGAGCGAACTTCACTTTTTTCGCATAGAATACATATTGTTCATACAATAATACATTTAGCTGGTTACCAAACACACCCGTGTTTATTTTACTTTGTTGAGTTTGCAGAATACCCAGGGGTAGGGAGGGTAGGTAACAAAGCCAAGCTAAAGCTGCGAGACGACATTCTTCCTTCTGCTAGGCGTCTGGCCTGGTTCAGCCTGCTGTGGGGACACAGCTCACCTTGTTCCAAGGACCACTGGCAGGCAACGTCGTCTTCTTTCCCTTCCAGACCACCCGCTTCAGATCCACTGAAGGGTCTGACAGAAGGGGACCAGCAACTGATCCGAGGTACTTGGGGAAAGGTGTTTGACAATGCTGAAGAAAATGGCAGAATTGTTATCATCAGGTACTAGCGGTAGAAAACCGAGTCCCCTTTTGTGGAAGTTCCGTTTGGTGCTCGGAGAAAGTCCACCAAGAGACCCAGCCTTCCTGGCAGCCCAATAGTGGGACTGGGCCTCTTCCCAGATACGTTAGGCATTGTCCTAATTTTGTATTGGGGGGGGGGGGGTGGGAAAATAGATTCCTTGCTACTGAGGTTCATTTCTTGTTGCTATACTCCCCTGGAAGACAATTAACAAGTACAAGAATTAAAACACTTTGCTAAAAAACAAAAACATAACATCACAGAGACTATCAATGACAACCATCCAACTGCTGGTGAAGAAGTGACATGGTTTCTCTTGCTACCAAAAAGACAGCTGGGGATATCCTGGTTGAGGGGATGGCCTTTTATGCCCAGCTCTGACCAAAACCTGCATTAGGCCAATGAGCCACTGGCCTCCACTCTTTCGGATGCCAGTGTCTGGATTCCTTTGGTTGACGGGTGAGAAATCTTGTTTGGCGGGGGAGCCGAGGTGGCGCAGTGGGTAGAGTGCAGTACTGCAGGCCACTTCAGCTGACTGCTAGATCTGCAGTTCGGCGGTTCTAATCTCACCGGCTCA